TCATTACTTTTCAAAACTCATAACCAAACACATAATTCAAAACTCTTGTCACGCCCTCAAAATAATAACATTAAACCCATCAATATAGACATAATTTGATATATATAAAAGTTCCACATTCTTCTATTCATTAGAGTTTCATTACAAAAAGTATTACATGTTAACGACAAAAGCAAATGCCCTAAAGGCTTATAGCTTTCCAAGCTAACACTTGGTTACAACAAAAGAGTACTAACTCATTTACACACTAAGCCCTTGGCTTGAATATACATGTAATACATCAAAGGGAAAAGACAACAAAAGTCTGCCCGCCTCTAGCCTGCCAAGCTACGTCCTTGGAGGTGGCATGCTTCCTGTACCTGAAAATGATGTTCCCATATAGGGTGAGCCACAGCCCAGCAGAGATATACTAAACCAACTATGAGCAATGACTAAAAGATTAGCAATTGATAGATGGCCAACACCGATACATCCGCATATATCACGTCACAATTTCATAACACATGAGTCTATGTCACTTTCCATTTTCCATTCTTATTTAACAGATAAGCATATTAGCTATATCAACACGTCAACAGATAAACATCTTACGCATCAACAGATAAGCATATAAGCTGTATCCACACTTTACTAGACAAGCATAGGAGTTGTATCTATACTTCACTAGACAAGCATATGAGCTGTATCTACACTTCTCAAAGATAAGCCTATGAGCTGTATCTTCACTTCTCTAGACAAGCATATGAGCTGTGTCTACGGAGTTCATCCCCCATCTCCTCCCAATCTATCCGGTTTAGAGGTACATCCCCCATCTTCCCCTAAACCGCGGAGTACATCCCCCATCTCCTCCTCTACACAATGCATACATATAAACACAGAATCACATACGCAATCAATCAATACATAAAATAAATGTATTCAATCCACCGTCATACTCTATGACACAACCAATCGATTAGTTTTAGTTTGCCTAATCATCATGCATTGTCTACAACAATCAAGACTATCCTCCACCGATAGCCCAAAGCAATTATTTCTAA